GAGGGTAATCCGATGATGTCGTTGATGGAGGGCGGCCTCCATATGATCTCCATATTTGAGGCGATGGGCAAAGCGGTGAACGGCATCATTGAAGTGCTCAAACACTTTCGGGAGATCCTGGACTCGACCGGACGTATGCCTACCATTGCTGTGGAACTCGTAGGCCGGGCGGCCCGGAAGACACCCTACTCTATGTTTGCCCGCTTTTTAATAGGCAATGACACTCTCCATTTTGGTTAATAGATTAACCTTGTATTTATAATAAAAGTTTTGTTTGCCCAATCATTTATTGTATATTTTTGTTAACTTATTATAGATAACTTATTGTATGTTTCTTGTATTTATTATTTATAATAAATTGTGTTTTTAAAAATTATAAGTAAAGTTTATTTTTATTCTAGATGATTTTTTATATGAATGTTAGTGTGGCCAACAAATGCCTGGCTATAGAATTTTAATTGTTATAAAATGTTATTTATGATTAATTAAAATATTTAAAATGTTTCTAATTGTTTTAATAATTTATTATCAAATATCATGTGCATTACTTTATGTTGCATGCTCAAAATTTAGTGTTGTTATAACAATAATTGTACTAAAATCTTAAAATCTAATCTAATTTTGTATTACTTTAACGTTATATAACGTTTTTAATTAATGCAACATTAATATCGTATTTAATATTTTGTAAATTTAAATAATGAATTAATAAGGGGGTAGCCAGTTATATTACAATTTATTTTTAGCTATAATCATTTTGTATACAAATATTACTATTTTAATATTTACTATTTTTCACGAATATATTCCTAATCCAAAATATATTATTATAATATTCTAATAACATTAAATTAGTATGATGGTAATTTTTCTAAACACCCCTCCTCTGTCCCAATCAATTGACACTCTTGTCAGCAAAACATCTGTAAAAATTGAAAACTAATTAATAATTGGTTTCTTTTGCAGACATTTTCACTAAATAAATAATTTGTCTTAAATTTGTGTTTCTTTTGTCCGAAAACAATACATAAAAGACATTCTTCTTCGACATGTTGTCCATCAAGTGTCTGCTATTATGCGCACTAATGGCGTCCCAAACGATGGCCGAGGAGGCGGTGCAGAAGGGCCTCCATATGAGGGACATCTATAAAGCGCTCAAAGATGGCCTCAAAGTGATGACTGAGATTCCCAAAGCACTCATGTCTACCATTGATGGCGTACTTTTGGCTTTGGGTCAGT